TCCCCCACCCCCACGACACCCCTCTCCAATCACTCGCAACTATATCCCGCGTGCTGTGGCTTTGGCTTACACCACCCCTCTCCCTTCGGCTCCACACGGGCACACGCACCCCGCCGCAGGCCCCGCACCGCCATCGCCATCATCGCCCAGACCAGAATGGGGCAGAACGAAAGTTGTCACAAGGTGGTTTCACAACTCCGCGTCTCGGTAGAATTCGGGGCTGTGATCTTCTAAATTTGCAGTAAATGTGTTGTTGTCCCCTCCCCCTCCTCACTCTATACATCACAGAGCGAGCCCTCGTTTTACTAGTTTGGAAAACGGCAAGCAGAACATAAAAAATTAAACTCCTAAAAAAAAATTAATTCAACCTTTACTTGTTTTATTATTCCCCTAGTAAATATTTGCACCGCAGCTAATATTTTTTTCTGTCGAAATTTTGATTCTCCCACTTTCGCCTGTACCACGCGGCGTTCCGCACTCCTAGTTGTTGTGGTGCTTGTGCCGATAATGACTTTTTCGCGCAGTGGTCGCGCTGCGTAGAAGGGGGCGAGGCCCGGGTGGGCGGGGCAGCAACAGCAGCTGCTGCTGCGCGCGCGCGCACACACACACACGCACGCACTCGCTCACATTCATAACACACACGTCAGTTAACACACTCGTTCGCGGCCCTGTGAACTATGGCCCCATATGGCGCACGGCGCCGCCGCCGCTATCGTCGCCACGCTCTCGCCTGTTTCAAATCCGCCGGGGTGTAAAAAATAAAGTGTCCCGCAACGGATTGCAGCGCGCGCCGATATCGGGGCGCCGTTTGCTTGACGGGTGGCAAAAACAAATGACAAAAAAAATCGTCAGAACTTGTAAATAAAATAATATAGTGTAAATAAAGTACTGGTTTGAAAAAGAATAAGTTGGAGCAGCAGATGTTCAGGGCGATTGATGCTGATGGTCGCCACCTCCTACGACGCCGGGACGCCGGGACGGACATCCCTGGTGACAATAAAGGCTCCTCGACGTGGAGGTGCACTTGAGACGTCTCGTTTGACGTCTCCCGGACCACATTCTCGGGTCGGGTCCCCGTCGAGGAGGCTGTTGTGGGGCGGCTCATCGCCGACTCATGTTGCCCGGGCCGTAGAACAGAAGCGGCACGGCCTTGGCGCGGTCGCGGCCGAAGCGCCTCTCCACGTTGGCGCGCACCTGGCGCGACTTGCCCGGCATGTCGAGCTGGCCGGCGATGTTGAGGTGCTCGGCCGTGTTGTGCACGCGCGACGCGAGGCGGTGCAGGTAGCCGAGCAGCTCGCGCACGCCAGAGGCCGCCGTCACCTGGTAGCTGTACGTGTGGATCGACTCGGAGCCCAGCTCGTTGCTCGAGCAGCCCGACGAGCACGTGCAGTCCAGGCCCTCCCACCTGGTGACATGAGACATCGACGTCAAAGCGAAACCCAGAAAACGTGTCGATCTCGAAATCATTCCAGCATGATTTCAGACACGATAGTCGATAAACTGTCTGATCTCGGTAATGATCTGATATCACCCGGAGGTGGTGACTCACTGGCAGACGGCGACGCAGACAACCCGCGCCACGTTGGTGGAGGAGGCTGCGGCGCATACGGCCTCGCCGTCTACGATGGAGACGGAGGTGGCGCTGAAGCTGCAGTCCATGCACGCCACGAGCGCCTCACCCTGGCCGACTTTCCTATGAAACCCAACGCGGTCGTCCTGGAGTCCTCCCATCACTCTGCTCAGCATTTGTGTTCGCGGTGCCTCCACGGGCCCCTCACCTGGTCTGGTGCCTCGTCGAGGTGTTGGAGAGCGTGAGCGCCGCTGACACGGGGCACGAGGTCGCCGAGCACCACGTCTGGCCAAACACCCGGTTCCGGAGCGCCCGGCCGCGCACCATGGCCGTCGGGTTGGTCGCGGTCAGGTCGTCGTCGACGGACAGCGACAGGGAGCGGGCGTAGAGGAAGCCCAGGTCGGCGGGGTCCTCGTCCGGCACCACGGGCTTGCCGTGGACGTGGTTGTTGATCCGGCGGTCGCTGCCCTCCGCGTCGTACCTGCGGGTAGGGGAAGGAAAGGACAGCCGTATCGGCGATTAGGCTGAGCCAGGAGCCACCCGCCCCGACCCCCACCCACCCTACTTACGAGGTGGTGGCGGCGGCCTCCAGGGGGCAGTCCTTGTCGTCGTTAGCCGAACACCTGCCGTCTGCAACGGGATGACGCCATTACATTTAACAGGTCGGGCCACGGAG